AAAAGTGGGCTGAAAAACTAGGCTTATACTCGAGTATATACAGTAATCCCCCCCTTTTATTGCAGAACGTTTGCTGTAGCAGAAAGAAATTTAACGCAGTAGGAAGCCAAATGAGCTCCACAGAAGAAGAAACTACGCCAGTCCCGCTGTGCTTTATGATGAATGGATCCTGCTCAAGAACCCTCCATCCGTTTGGAGTCCAGTTAGCCATTTACATGGTCTGTGCTATTGGTGTGTTAGTTACCATTATGGGGAATCTCTTGGTGGTGATTTCCATCTACCACTTCAAAGCACTTCACACTCCTACTAACTTCTTGCTACTCTCTCTTGCCCTGGCAGATCTCCTCCTGGGCTTAACTGTCCTTCCCTTCAGCACAATCCGTTCTGTGGAGAGCTGCTGGTATTTTGGAGATGACTTTTGCCACCTGCACACCTTTCTGGACACTGTCTTTTGCTTGACTTCCATATTCCACCTCTGTTTTATCTCTGTCGACCGTCATTCTGCCATCTGTGATCCTTTGCTCTATCCCACCAAGTTCACCCTACGGGTTGCTTGCATCTACATAGCCCTGGGGTGGGGGATCCCTGTGGTTTACACATCCATCTTCCTTTACAGCAAAGGAATTGAGGAAGAGTTAGGGCAGTTTTTGCAAAGTTTGCCCTGCATTGGGAGTTGTCAGCTGCTGTACAACAAACTCTGGGGCTGGATCAACTTCCCGGTCTTCTTTTTTCCCTGCCTCATCATGATAGGGTTATACATCAAAATATTTATAGTGGCAACTAGACAAGCTAAACAGATCAGGAGCATGAACAAAAAGCCCAGAGGGAGCAAACATCAAACAGGAGCTGCAAAAAGAGAAAGGAAGGCAGCAAAAACCTTAGGTATCGCCGTAGGAATCTACCTCCTTTGCTGGTTGCCATTTACCATAGACACTATGGTAGATAGCCTGCTGGATTTCATTACCCCTTCTGTTGTGTTTGATGTTCTTATTTGGTTTGCTTACTTTAATTCTGCCTGTAACCCCTTGATTTATGTGTTTTCCTATCGTTGGTTCAGGAAAGCTGTGAAGCTCATTTTAACATGCCAGGCCTTCTCTACAAGAACATCTGCAATTGATCTATATCAAGAGGAATAATCTATGGTTGGGAGGGCAAATATGGTTGGGGGGAGTAGAAAATAGCATTCACATCCACCTTGCAATTAAAGCACATACAACTGAAGGTCAACAAAGCAATTTAGGTATCAAGAGATGAAAAAATCTTCCTCTTCCTGACAATCAAATAACAATAATGAATTAAATATCTCATCATTTTCGGCTCTTTCATGACCCACGCCAAATAATCACCTTCTTGGGTAGGTGATTTAATTAATTAATTAATTAATTAATTAATTAATTAATTTTCTGCCTATTGCACCGCATTTTATTTTTCCGGAGAGTAGTGCTAAAGTCCACTGTCAAAGGATTCCAACTTGATTCCATTATTTTCAAGACAACCTAATGGTCTGTTATTTATTTCTTTTTCTTTCTACATTTATTACAAGAATGATTTTGTTTTAGTAATGAAATGAGATCAGCTCAAAGATGCTTTTTCAAGAGGCAACTGGACTTTCTTGTTTTACTTTGAAGACGTTTCACTTCTCATCCAAAAGCTGAAGAAGCTTCTTGGATGAGAAGCAAAATGTCTTCACAGAAAAACCAGAAAGTCCAGTTGCCTATTGTAAAAGTACCTTTGGGACAACCATGACCTGGATGACTGAGAATCTCCATAGACAAATGGGATCAGCATTGTCCAGGCCTACAGGTAAGCCATTCATTTCAACCAAACAGTGAAAATTGGGTTGAAAGCTCATACAGGTTAATCGGAAAAAATAGGAACCAGAGATTAATTGTAGAAGGCAATTTTACTTGGTGACATCAGTAAATCAAAGTTCATTTGCTTTTAAAATTTAAAATAATACATCTATATTTCAACTATAATAAGGAATAATAACAAAAAGACAAATGGGAGAAAAAAGAAATGTTTTTTGTGAAAGATGTTATATGTGGTTGCATGTTCAAAACCTAATCATCACTACTTATTTATTAGAAAATATTTTCCCCATGTTTGATCTTATACTGCTTGCAAATAAGAAACATAAATGAATCTCTCTGGAACAAATTATTTGATGTGAAGAAATATGTAAATATCAATAATCTGTTCAGTATCTTTGAGCTTCAATTATGTCTAAGCAATAAAAGCTGAGTTCTCTTGATCAACAGCAAGATGTGACTTGTCTCCTTTTTGTTGATATCAAAGCCATGGACATTGGCTTCTGCACTTGTATATCAAGCAAGCAGATATGTAGCTGCTTGACACATTGTTCTATCCCATTATTTGTTTAATCATATCTGTTGGGTTAAATGACAGGCTGAACCAAAACCAAACAAAATACGTTTATTGTGTATCAGCATTTTTGGATAGGGTGAACTGCAAATCCAGCCCTCCTCAATTATGACATTAAGCTTACTTCAGATATGGGAAGAGAGAATGTTTCCAGGCCATCCAGTTATTGTGGAAAAAAATCAGGAATAGTTGCTACACACACCTTGCCCTCTTGCTGTACCTCTCCTCCTCTCATGTGCAAATCTCCTTTTAAAATCTGAGCTAGATTCAAGTGATTAATTATAACTAGGGTCCGTGGTGGGATTCAGCCGCTTTGCACCGGTTCAGGCAAACCAGTTGTTAAATTATCCACTCCACCCCCTGACTATCAAAGTGTATTCTGGGTGCTGCACTGCAATGGAAAAATTGGCAACGGAGTGTAGAACCAGCAGTGACCCAGGCCTGCCACATCCCCAATCCAGTTCCCTTGCCATTGCTGGGCTGCCGCCATTTTGGTTTTTAGTGACTGCATTCCCTTTTCTTGAGTCAGGACTCCCAGAGCTGTATTGCCTTTTGAATCCACAAAGAGATTAAAAGGTTTTTCTAAATTGGGGAGTCCCATTACCAGAGCTTGAGATAATTCTGATTTTAGGGCGTCAAATGCCCATTTTTGTTCCAGCCCCCAAATGAAGGGTTCTTTTTCACCCTCCTTCATGGAGGTGTACAAAGGTTTGGCTAAAAGCGCAAAATTTGGAATCCAAATTCTGCAATATCCTACTGCACCCAAAAATCCCTGCAACACTTTCCTGGTTGTTGGTTCTGTAATTTGGCACACAGCATCTTTTCGCTCATGTCCTATTGCTCTTTGTCCTTGACTTATGGTATATCCCAAATATTTGACTTGGGGTTTTACTAACTGTGCTTTTTTTCTTGAGGCATGATATCCCTTGTCCATTAACAGATGGAGCAGTTGATTGGTATTTTTTCAACAAGTCTCCTTTGTCTGTCCTGTTACTAAGATATCATCCACGTATTGGAGTAGCACATCTTCATTTTTGCAAGGCTGGAAATTTTCTAGGTCCGAGGCCAAGGCTTCACCAAAAAGGGTAGGTGAATTTTTAAATCCTTGGGGAAGCCTAATCCAAGCGTACTGCCTCTTACAACCTGTTACGGGGTCTTCCCACTCAAAAGTAAACAGTTTTTGACTGTCCCTATGTATTGAGATGGTGAAGAAGGCGTCCTTTAATGTAGGATGGAAACCTGAGGACACTTTTAATCCAGACATCATTTCAAAAGTACATCAGATCATAACAGATGCTAAAACCCAGATCAACATCAGTATATTGACCAGTGGCAGATAGCAGTGCAACAAAATCCTGACTGGCTTCGTAAATATAAAAAGGAAGCCATGAAGGTCTGTGTGGCTTGAATAAAAGAAAATGGCAAAAGCAAGGTCAAAAAGAGAAAAAGCCTCTCTTCCAAACAGCACCCTCTGAAGAAGAAGGTCCTCCTCCATATGCTCCTCTCTATCACCCAAGACAGCCTTCAAATGCCAGCAGTGGAATTAATCAAGGGGCAGTAGGACAAAGTGACCAGAGGGATGAGCAAAAGGTGGAAAGTCCTTCTAGCGGAACCCCCCTCTCCTATAACCCAACGGACTTCTCCCGTTGCTGCATGAACCAGAAGTCAGCCCCTAGCACCACTTCGCCAAATGGATCAAAGAATTATATATGGACAGGGACAAGTAGAGATTCAGCCTTTGTTTCGATACGTCCCGTTCACCACTACAGATCTGTTGAATTGGAAACAACATTATGGACCGTTGTCCACTAAGCCTCAGGAAGTTATTAACCTGTTTATGGTTATTATCAGAACCCATAATCCGACATGACAGGATTTGGAGCAATTAATGGCTACTCTCCTTAATGGGGAAGAAAGTGAAAGATTCAGTAGTGCCATTGGAAAAATCTTAAAAACCGCAGACGGAGGAAGCCTTTAGGCTGCGCTAAATTAACGGTTTCCACGACAAGATCCTCAATGGGATCCCTATGGAGACATCCCTCTGGGACTATCAGGCATTAATTCTTCAAGGCTTAGAACAGGCTGCAAAACCTCCAGTGAATATCTCCAAACCCTCTCTCGTAATCCTAACCCCAATAACACTGAAATGATGAAATATAATTTACAACATCACAATTTGAGTTCCACTCCTTTGTATTTGACTGACAATATGTGTGCCATTATGAAGGAAGGAAGGCTTTCAGCAGTGACACGCTTTCCCCCACCACAAGTTGGTTTTTTTTTTTTATAATTACACATTAAACTATTAATTTCATCATGGCAAGAATGATAAATAGGATGTCTTCTCTGTCTCACTACAAATTTGCTTTCAAGTGTTAGGCACTGTTCCCTCTA